AACAAGGCATGCCTGATATTGAAATTAGCCTGCAATTTTTTAAATCATCCTTAATAATGGTTTGCTCATATGATTTACTTCTGCATCCTGTATATTTGCCACAAAAAAAATTGCATTAACTTTACATCACAAAGAAAAAGCTCATAAAATTTACCTGAACAAAGATGTGGCGAACTGGCGGGAAATCAGCAGTATTAGAAGAATGTATACAAAAATAATAATTCTGCATTTGGACAGCTTGTGATTTTGTTTAAATAGATTATTACTACCCTAAACAGAGCTTTGGGTGGGACATACTCAAAATAAAGTCCCTAAGGCAGCAGGACCAAGAAATGATATACTATTTCTTATTCATGGTATCCACTATTGCTTTTTACTTTTGGGTGGCAGATACATAAAGAATTAGTACAACTTTTGGCGAAGCCTTCCTATTGTTTAGAATATAATGATTGCAAAGTAGAATTGTTATCACTACAATCCGTTAGTAATCAGAAATTACCTCCAAAGTTTCCAGCATACATAGTTCAAGCGTGAGAGAAATTTATTGCCTCACCCCGTTAGTACAAAAGTGTTGGAGGATATATAAAATTAATCCATAGGTGTATATTATTTTAAAATAATCACACAGATTTTTAACATATCAATATTAATCAGGATTCCATGATTCATTGCAACTAATTATGCCCAAAACATACAAACTCTAATGACTCTGTATCACAAGTCTCTGTAGGATCAACAAACCCAATCACAAGTTTCTCACTGAAAATCCAAATTTCCATAGTCTCGGTCACACTTGAGACTTGACATTGATAAGAACTGAAGAATGTTAAGATGGTCAAAAGACAATCAACAAAAACCCTCACAACAGTCACAAGTCAAACATTTTATCCAGAAATTATTCAGTTCTTCAAATTAGTAATTCCAAGTGATGGTCATAACTGATATTGTTTATTCACGTAACTGAACTTAAATGGAGCCCAAAGAACCAAAAAAATGTGCAGGTGTTCCAACAATTTAAAGATAATGTATTCATAGTGTGAAATAAAAGCAGATAACAAAGATAATAAATTAATCATAAAATTCACTATTTCACCTGCTGGTAATGATGGGGTAGCCACAAAACTAGAAGTTGAAAATGGGTTGGCAGGCATTATTCCAAGTGCATTTGATGTTTGCCCAAAATTTGACCCTGTGACATGTGAAGCTGGTGCATTTCTCAATGGCATAAACGCAGCTGCATTGCTACTATTATTACTGGTAAATCCAACTATTGCAGGTGGTCCACAAGCTCTCGCTGATGTATTTCCAATTCCTAGATCATAAAATGAAATATTTCGAAGAAGATATTGTTTACATCATTAGTAAGATGTTTGACATGGAAGCTAAGGAAATGGAAACCCCCTCCAAATGTAATCTATTAGGGGGTAGGGTAGTAGAACGACTCAGTGGGTCACATAGAGCAAGAGAAAGTATAAAACACATAAAGCTCCAAAGTCTTGATCAAATAATTGAAGTTCATATAGCCTCGTGTCAGCAAACTCTATGTAATAGAATGATTTCCTAAGTTTAGGAAGCCAAAGGAATGAATCTCCTCAACAGGTGAATACTGATTTTAGACCCTGTCATCTTTGAATGCTCCGCAAGCTCACAAGAAAGAAAGTACTAATTGAATAAGGGCTAAGTGCTCAATAGGAAAAAGTAAGATATAAGAGGATAATCTATTTAAAGCAATACACATCCTGTCTGTTACTCGTTGTGAAACGATGAATTGTCATACATGGGATTAAAGGAAAAGTTATCGGAATCGGAATTTTACTTTGAATCGGTGAGTAGGGTATAATCGAATCGTAGAATCGTACAATTCTACCAAATTGTAAAATTGGGCTTCAAATGTAACAAATGACTCATACATAATTTTATAGCAATGAGAATGATAATAATATGTATTGTAAATAACATAATATCGACAGTACAAACATAAAATAGTTTTTGATGTAATTTCGCACGCGCATAACTCAAACAATACACTATAAATTATAAAGTCGGATTATTGGTACATATTCATAACCATGAGAGTACGCGAAAATTGTTATTAAAATATGAAAAAAATAACATTGTTGACTCGCAAAATTGTTTCCCCTAGACCCATGCATAATAAAAAATTCCAATAATAATAGAAAACTAAGTGTCAAGTTAGTTCATTTAACAAGATAGCTAAAGAGCGACAACTACAACAAACTCATGTTATAAAAGTGTTTTTTATATGCCCAAAGTTGAGTGCATAAGACTCATGAATACATTTTTATGCCCACAAAATTTAAATGGTTGGATAGATCTTAAAAGTTATTTAAATTGATGTTTCATAAGCTTTATTATGAGTTAGATTGAATAATATATAAGTCATTGACTAAAGTTAGGTTCGACTTTGACACCCTTACACTCTTTAGTCTAAAACATAAAATATGTAAATGATATGGGTACGAAACTAATTCTATTCGAATGTAGACTTTAAGAGCTTTCCAATGATATGCTATAAGCCTAATTCCGACTTCGAAATAAAAAATTATGGGTTTCAAAAAACAGGTTTTTTGCAGCAGTGGAAACGGTAGAATCGGTATAGAATCGTAGAATCAGTATCGATTCCACCGATTCTAACCGATTCTACCGATTCTATGAGCGATTTCACAACATAACAATTCTACCACCAATTTACATCGTTTAGGTGGATTAGGACCGTAGAATCGTACGATTCTACGATCCGAATCGCGATTTTAATAACACTGACTAAAGGTCAATGTTTTTCACCGGCCATGAATTAATAAAGATTGTGGCATACTCCTATGCCTTTGATTATTCCTATCACGTCATTGACAATCACTCAGTATACATTGCTACTGTTTCATTGCCCATAAAAGCATACCCTCAAGAATGATGCTTGAGAACTTTTTTTGGACATCTAAGAGTAAAGGGCTTAGGAAACTGATTAATATCGAGAGGAAACTACTATATAATGTGGATGTAATATTAAAATAAAAAAGAAAACACAGTTAGGCAGTGAAACTACATGCACCATCATCAATGAATCAACATAAAACAAGAAGCAGCAGCATTCAAATGTACAGTATCAATAATGAAAAGGAAATGCATATATTTACCACATAAAGGATGCAGAAATTAAGCAAGTACCACAAAAAACTACAACTTCTTTAATTGATATTGGCGAATAGCAGGATTTGAACCTGCGTCTTCTCCTGGGTAGGAGAAGACTTACCATTTTTATTATATTCGCAAATGTACAATATCAATGTTGAAAAGAAAAGGAAGATATTCACCAATCACCACACAAAGGATGCAGAAAATATGCAAGATTAAGTACCAGCATAATGTTACAAGTTTATGTAATTTTGGACAAATAGTGAGGACTGGTCCTACAGCCCCTCCTCGAGGGAAGAGTATCCTAAACTATAAGAGATACTGTGGCTGCTATATGTGCCAAATAGAACATATGACCATCAAATAATCATGACTAAAGAAAGTACCAATATTCAAAATCAAAGCAACCAAATCATAAACATATTAGTTAGCTTCAACTTGTTTCCCCTTCCCAGATTCTTCTTTAGATTAGGCTATTACACTAATTACAGCATAACCTATGACAAAGAGCATTGATTCAATAACTAGTACCAAATAAGTATCACTCTCTTCCATATTTACCTTCACCTATCATAAAATCTATCCAATTCAACTATTCAGAAAGCTATTATATCGGCCAATCTAGAGGCTTGATACATGAGTACATGATACACCACCTCCCCTACGAAAAAAGAAAGAAGAGAAGAAAAACAAATGAAAGTAGAACCGATACATGTATTGAAGGTGGTAGGAGAAGTCAGAAATGAAGATGATGATGCTCCAAATTATCCAATCGAAGCTCCACCAAAAAGTGACTTCTGTATTGAGATTTTTGGGATAGATTCACACTCTATTGTATTACAAGCAACTGAATTATGTCCAGGAATTCTCTTATTCCCAAATAACGACAAGGTAAAAAATAAAGAAGAGGAACAAGAACCTTGTCCAAACACTGTAGACTTGAAATAAAGAATGTATAAAAATATAAATAGATAAAGGACTCAAGAGTTAAAAATATCAGAAAATTGTGTGTTTAGCAAATGACAGATGATAATGCAATAAATGATATGCATCAGCAGTTAATATAACTTAGAAGGCCTAAGTTCTCAAACATGAACAATACAAAAGCACACGAACTACTACGGAGTAATATGAAAAATAAACTCCCCATGGAAACAAAATCATGTTAAATAGATTTGACGATGAAGCACGAAAATAAGTAAAAGCCAAACATTAAATGCTTCAATTAAGGATTAATACAGAAACCAAACATGATGATGACAGACCTCCAAATGCTCCTCTTGAAGTAGTAGAACCAAATGGACCATCATTTCCAACGTTTGTGGTCCCAAATGTTGATGACGATCCAAAGAAAGCAGTTGGTTGTCGTCCAATTGCTGGCACATAGAAGCAAACAGAGATATCAGCACAAACTGACCAGAGAGCCATGGATTTGACTTCCACTTAAATCATATAAATTCTAGAACTGCCAAGCTATGGACATAATCATATAAATTATTAAGGGAATATTCAGATGAAAACAAAATGATCCTAAAAATACATTGTGAAAAACCTGACATGAATCATTCATCACTTACTCAAGGATGGAGAAGAAGCCGACGACACTCCAAATACACTAGTTGATTTTCCACCAATAAATGATCCCTGATTAATGAAACTTGGGGAAGCAGTACTTCCGGTTATACTAGGATCAAACATCAGATTCGAATTGCTACCCTTTCCAAACAAACTTGACATTCCCAAAGAAGACGATGTTGATCCTAATACATTGGTTGTACTACCCCCAAAAATTATCCCTTGGGACGGTAAACTTGTAGTCCCTGTTGTATTTGGAGCGAACACATTACTCAAATTGCTACCATTTCCAAACAAACTTGACGTCCCCAAGGAAGAAGATGCTTCTCTAAATACATTGGTGTTAGTACCCCTATAAGCTGACCATTGGGTAGATACATTAGGGAAATTTGTAGTCCCCATTGCATTAGAATCAAACGGATTACTCGAATTGCTACCACTCCCAAACACAATTGATGTCCCCAAGAAGATGCTTCTCCAAATGCATTGGTGGCATTATAGCCAAAACCAGACCCTTGGGTAGATACATTAGGGAAATTTGTAGTACCCATTGCATTAGAAGCAAACAGATTATTCAAATTGCTACCACTCCCAAACACACTTGACGTCTCAAAAGGAGATAATGAGGCACCAAATACATTGGTGGCATTACCACCAAAACCTTGGGAAGCAAACAAATTACTCAAATTGCTAACATTTCCAAACTCACGTGGCGTCTCCAAGGAAGCTGAAACTTGCCCGAACACTGTAAAATGGAGAATAGAAAAGCTCAAAGCCATTCAAAGTACTATATCCACAACAACACCTTAGTATGTTAAGCATGCATGATTATACTACGTACATTTTTTATATTTAATAGGTATACAGAGACCAAATCTTGCAGGTACTCTAAATATCCCAAATTTTTCTATAGTCAATGAGCAATCAGGAAAAACTTCAATTAAGCATTTTTTTTTTGGGAGAATGGCAAAATTTCATGTTTTTCTATCAAATAAACCCTTTTCCACTATTTTTGCTACAAATTCGATCATCAATTGAAACCCTAGAAGAAAAAATTCAACAATTACCATCAAAAAATTGCAAATAAGTAAAATAAATATACAGAAAACCCTAAATATCAACAATTCAAATCCTAGATTAATGAAATTGAGCAATTATGAACAGAAACTTGTGAAATTTCAAAAAATAAATACTCCGAGTTAATTTTAAAAATTAAAAGACATCAGAAATTACCTCCAGCCATCAATCCGGATCACTAGAAGCTTCAATAAATCACAATGAATGCAACAAATTTGAAATTTGAAAAAAAAAATTAGTAACATTAAAGCAAATTAATTAAAGGAGAAAATATAAAAGAATCCATATATATAGTGATGAACTTAGCTTGAAAATGGAGCAGGAAATAATATAAATTGCCCAAAATTTTTGCTCGGCGTCAGAAGAACGCATAAGATCTTCAACTCCCGCGTTTTTTTTTTTTTTAAATCTGCAAAATCATACTCAGAGTCTCACACGATACATGTAGTTCGTATAATGTAATCCAATTAGTATTACATGCACCATGGTGCACATAGAATTATATATACCAGGCGCAATACACCATGGTCCAACAGAAAGAAGTCTGCACCCAACAGAAAGAAGCCCAACCATTTTTTTTTTTACCGTTGAATTTGGATATTCATTTTTTTTCTACCTCTAAATTTTTTGAAAATCTAAGTTAAAACTTTTAACATCCATTTATTTATTTTCTCATTATATATCTAGTTTGTTCATATACGTTGCCTTTTTTTTTTACAAGAAATAGGATTTCATTGATAAAATAGAGCCAAATGGCACTTTACAATGCAAATAATTCTTAAGAAATCTAAACTCCCAACACAAAAATATATCACCATAAAGCAAAGTACATTGTAGATTCGATCAACAATAGCCTTTATAAAAAACTTCTTTCGAAGCAATACAATATGTGAGTTAGCACTAATTTGGCTTAAGATCCACTTATGCATAGTCGTTGTATGGATGAAAATACCTATGTGGTACTCTAGATACTTAGAGAAATTATGAAACCCTAAATCTTCATTCTTTGTCGAACGAATAATCACTAAAATTAATCTTCCAAGCAAACTGCAACTGCCCATTTCTAATCTTTCATAAGAGAAGAAAAGAACTCATACTCCAAACTCCCACAAACGAAAAGAACAAATCCAAAAATTGGGAACAAAACTCTCATAAAGAGAGAGAAAGGAGGATTATTAAACTAAGAAATTAAAAACTAAGGAAACAAAGGAATTGGGGCTTACCATCATCAAAGAGATGATGGCAGCCCCTTGCGGCTAGAGAGAAGATGAGGGGTTTTAGGGTTTTTTCTTTTAGAGAGAAGATGAGTTTCATATACGTTGCCTTTTATGTCCATATATATTTGTTGTATGAAGTAATAATTTGTGTATAACTTTTATCAAAAATTTTGGTATGAAATAATAATTTATTTGGATGTTGTGTATTTCCTTCTTTTGTTGTTTAATACTTCGTATTTAATTATAGACCAACTACTGAACACCTTCAACAAACTTCTGAACATCCACCAGAAACTTCTGATAAGACACCAGAAGCAATACAAAAGCCCTATAAACTTCTGATAAGCCCCTAGAATTTTCTGATAAGCCACCAAAAAACATAGAATCAATCTCAAAAACCTCTAAACCCATAAAAAAACTTCTGAACCACAATTACTAACCACTGAACACCCTTCAAAACATTTTAACCACCTTCAAAAACCTCCGAACCTCCTACAAAAACTTTTGAACCCTAATTACAAACCACTGAACACCCTTCAAAAACATTTTAACCACCTTCAAAAACATTTTAACCACCTTCAAAAACCTCTGAACCCCAACCACAAACCACTGAACACCCTACCAAAACCCCTGAACCCCCTACAAAAACTTTTTAACCCCAACCACAAACCACTAAACACCCTAAAAATACTTCTGAACCCCAACCATGAACCACTAAACACCCTACAAAAACCTTTGAACCCCCAACAAAAACTTCTGAACCCCAACCACAAATCACAAACCACTAAACACCCTACAAAAACCTCCCCTACAAAAACTTCTGAACCCCAACCACAAACTATTGAACACCTTACAAAAACCTGTGAGCCCCCTACAAAACTTCTGAACCCCAATCACAAACCACTGAACACCCTACAAAAATCTTTGAATCCTCTACAAAAATTTTTGAACCCCAACTACAAACCACTAAACACCCTACAAAAACTTCTGAACCCCAACCACAAACCACTAAACACCCTACAAATACTTCTGAACCTCAACCACAAACCACGAAACACCCTACAAAAAATTCTGAACCCCAAACACAAACCACTGAACAACCTACAAAAACCTCTGAACCCCCTACATAACTTCTAAAGCCCAACCACAAACCTTTGAACACCCTTTAAAAAATTTTGAACCCTTACAAAAACCTATTAACCCAATCATAAACCATTTAACACCCTACAAAAACCTTTGAGCCCCCTACAAAAACTTATGAACCCCAACCACAAACCATTGAACACCCTTGAAAAACCACTGAACCCCCTACAAAAACTTCTGAACCCCAACCACAAACCATTGAACACCCTTCAAAAACTTTTTCACTTGAAGACACTGCTCAGGATGCTAAATGTTAAGATTAATAAATTATAAAGTAGAGAATGCCAATTTTTTTAATAAAATTAAAAATACATAGATCTAAAACAAAAATAAGTTAATAAGTAATGTATCGCATGTTCAGAATTATAATAAAGATGTTCGTAATTCCAAAAATACATGTTATGTATTTACAAAAAACACAACATACGTTCATATTTTTAACTTAAAATGTTCAAAATACTGAAATATAATCAAATACAGATTTGTTCATAACAAAATACACAATTATCACTAAAAAAATCAAAAGAATATGAAAGCTACATTTTCCGAAACTCAAACCTAGCCATGGTGATTTAGATAATGAAATCACATCGGAAAATAATCACACCATCATCTTAACCACCTTCTCCTCGATGACGACGCTTCATTGTAAAAACTCCATTAACAAACCTTCAAATCGAAGGTTGAAAAAAACAAAATTTGAATTTAATCTATTGTAATGAAGGAATTCACTCAATGGTGACCAACAATATGAAGGAATTCAATTGAACTTCATAAAAGAGATGTTGCAGGCTTTAAAATTTCCCCAAAGCTTCATTGACATGATCATGTTTAGTGTTAGAGCCCCTAGATTTTCTTTGATGATTAATGGGGGTCTTCATGGTTTTTGTGAAGCAAAAAGAGGGTAGAGACAGGGTGACCCACTCTCTCCTCTGCCTTTTGTCCTCTATATTAAATACTAGTCAAGAATTTTGAAGGTTGTGAGTGGCATGGAGAAGTTCAAGTTTCACCCAAGGTGTAAAGCTATATATGGGTTTGACTTACTTGTGTTTTTATAATGACCTTATTTTGTGCTATAAAGGGGAGGTGGAGTCTATTAAGTTGATGATGAAAGGTTTTGAAGTTTTTTCTAAGGCAACTGGTTCAAAAGCTAGCCCTGAGAAAACTTCAGTTTACTGCACTGAGATGAGTGAAAACATGGTGAATGAGGTGTTAGACATTACTCGGATTGGGAGGGGTACTATGCCTTTTATGTACTTAGGGGTGCCAATTTTCTCAAAGAGAATTTCTGCAGTTAAATGTGAGCATCTGATAGACAAAATCTGTGCTAGAATCAAGATTTGGAGTTCTAGAAATCTCTCTTTTTCTGCTAGAGCTGTTTTGATAAACTTTATTTTGATGAGTATCCAGGTTTACTGGGCTCAAATTATAATATTTCCTAAAGCTATCTTTGAGAGCATTAAAACCATCTGTAGGAACTTCCTATGGCATGTGTAATCCCCGTATTTTTAAATATATTATAAATGAAATTTAATTTTATTTATAATATTGATGTGTTTTTTTGCGTAATTTAATTTCAAAATATTCAAATTATTAAATTGGATTGAAAATTATTTTGTTACAAATTATTTTATGATCCTTCATTATATAATCTATTTCAATACAATTAAAGCTAAGTCCATTTCATTCATTTGGCCCATCAATTTTATGAGACCCAATCTTATTATTTACCCTACAACATTCTCCCCTGTAAGTACCCCATTAATCCCCAAAATTTTGCCACACAAAAGGTTAGTTCTATTTTTCCTTCTCCTTTATTTTATTTTATTTTATTTCATTTTCCTTTTCCTTTATTCTTCCTATCTTTTTTATTTTATTTTATTTTTCTTTTTTCTTTTTTCTCTTTTCTTTTTCTTCTTTCTTCCTACTTGAGAATTAACTCACTACTCTCCCCACCTAACGGCCGGACCCACCTTCTGCCGCCGCCGCCTGGTCGCCAGCGACCACCCAGCCGGCAGCCACCGCAGCCCCCTTTTCCCCTTTCTTCCTCTCCTTCTTTTCCCCTTATTTCTATTTCTATTTGCATAATTATATAATTATTGTTTTGGGTTTTTGATTTAATTGTTTGAAATTGACATAATTAGTATCAAATCTATATTTTGATGGTAAAAAGGTTATAATTTCTGATTATATACATGTTTTAATTTTTAGATTTCTGTTCGTTAATATTAATCCTGTTTTAATCCCGATTAGGTTCTAAACTCATTCGATTTTGATTAAAAACAGTAGTGTTTTCCATGTGGAAACAACGTTTTAAGCAAGACTCACTACCCCTTTCGTGGCCAAATTCAG